AAAGTATATGCCTCTAAGTCTCACAGACTGTGCACGCTCAGGCTTTATTTTCTGGCAGCTGAGCCCCTTCATTTCACATTGTTCTCAAGTGCAAAGTGCAATACATATTTTATGATTTGTAATTTAAATTTGAGGGGATTTATTTTTTTAATTTTATGTTTACGAATGTTTTGCCTGTGTGTGTGTGTATATGTGTGTGTGTGTGCACCACCATGAATGCCTGGTACCCACAGAGGCCAGAAAAGGGCATAGATCCCCTGGAACTGGGGTTACATATTGGTGTGAGCTATCATGTGGGTGCTGGAAATCAAACTGAGGTCTTCTGGAAGAGCTACAAGTGCTCTTAATGGCTGGTCCATTTCTCCAGCCCCATGATGGTTAATCTAGAGTTACCATGGAAGCAAAACTCACAGATCTGTAAGGGATTACCTAGATTAGGTTAAATGAGTCAGGAAGATCCATATTAACTCTGGGTGGTACCAGGGCTCTAAATAAAAAGAAAATGAGCTGAGCCCTGGTGAATGGTGGTGGCCTTGGAGAAGGTACGATACACTGGCCATGACAGACTATATGTATCCCCTGAAACTCTAAGCATCTTTCCTTCTTAAGTTGCTTTTTTTCAGGTATTTTGTTGCAGCATTGAGACAGTTAGTTAACTAATATCCTTCATGGATTTGTTGTAAGAAAGTGGAGGTAAGTATTCTAAGGTGTGGCAGAGGACTGGGATAGTGAGCCTTTCACGAGGAGAGAGAGGATGGGACTGTTCTGAACTGCTTTCCTGCTCTAGGCTTCCCTTTCCAGTTTGCGCTGATCACAGTTAGGTGCAACCCCGCCCACCTGGAGCTTGTGACCTAGTGGCAGCAGTGGCAGCTACTTCTCTCACACAAATGAGAAATGTTTGATTGCGATAAATTCTTCTAGTGGAAAATACAGGGCGTGTTTTGAGTAATGGAGACTTTAACTTAGTCTGCAGACAAAATGTTCCTGGGGAGATGACGCAAGGGAGGAAAAGGGGTCAGAAATTACCCATGCGTCAGCAAAGAGCGTGGCCGGAGCCAGAAACAACAACACCAAAAAGCAATACACTGGGAGTGGCCCAAGAGGAGCACAGGGATGGCTGCTTTTGAACACACCACTCCCTTTTCCTGCCTTCAGACGCTTGAAAAATCTTGACCTTTCTTCAGTCCTTTTGTTTCTATCCCAATTTTTTTTTTTTGCTAATAAGCCTAACTGGTAACATTTCTTCAAAGCTAAAAGCACTTTTCACTTTTTGACCTTCAAAAATAGGAACGGCCTAACAATACAGCTCTACAAAATGAAGTCCAAACGAGAAACCCACCAGCCTGCTAAATACCAAATAAGAACTCGAGCCCTAAGAACTTATCTGTGCTTGGAAAATGCCTTTTTTATTTTACTTTTTAAGATAAGGTCTTATATAGATCAGGCTGGCGTTTGTAACCAAGACTGCTTTGAGCGGATCTTCTGCTCCTACCTCCTGAATGCTGTAATTGGTATGTACCATGAGGTGTGTATCGTGAAGTGTGTACCGTGAGGTGTGTATAGTGAGGTGTGTACCAAAAGGTGTGTATTGTGAGGTGTGTATAGTGAGGTGTATACCAAAAGGTGTGTACCGTAAGGGGTGTACCATGAGGTATGTACGGTGAGGCCCAAGGGTATATTTTATACTTCTTCCAACACCATATAATGTTTGTACTTGTAGCGTACTTTAGTTTAGTTTGCTTTGGATCTGGATCTTCTGTTGTCACTTAGAGTGACTTCAGAAAATCCTCCCTAATAAAGGAACTAAAATGAATTCCTTTGCTATAGGAAGTTTTGGTAGGAGCGGTGAAGCATGTGGTTTACTCTGTCTTGTCCACTGTGTGTGGCTGTTAAAAACTTGAACAAAATGCATGAAGCAGGGGTATTTGAGGACTTTGGACTCCTAATCCTTGGCCTAGGATATATCCAGTTCTAGGAAATAAATAGCGGTAGTTAACTAAAGCCTAGGTTTCTAACCACAAAAAGGTGGCAGTGGCAGGGGCAGTGGCGGTGGCCGTAGCCAGGAGCTCAAGGAAGAATATCAGATCACAGTTTTGGCAAAGGCCGCAAGAGTGAAGTTCTGTGATTCCTGGGCCCACGGTCAAGCTGTATGGTTATGGATTTATGCTTAGGAGCATGACATAGATGTGAGCAGACTACTGTCCACATCCCAGACTGGCCAGTCGTTGTGTACACAGCTTGGATGCATCTGAACGTCATTGCAGCTGAACTAACATTGGTGCTGCAGTCCTGAAGGCAAGTCAGCACATCTGACCTCAATCCAGTTATAGCAGCGGCATGCCAAGTAGAAAGGGGAGCTAGACATTTAGGACATCAAATCCCAATTGTCTAGTGTTTAATCCAAGATGACTGCACACACAAAGAGTAAGGGCAATCTCAATTAGCATAAAAAGGCAATAAAAGTAAAAATAAACCAGAAAAGACAACTGATACATATTGATGAAGACAAAACACAAATGTTGACATTACTGAAAGCAGAATGTTAGAAAATGCTCTACGAAGCAAGAGTGAGCATTCTTGAAGTGAATGAAGAGGTGAGAAAGATAATGACATGAGGAGAACCAAATGGGCATGTTAGAATTGGTATCAGAATAGAGATGACAGGGGACTGGTGAATTTAAACCCTGATTCATAGAAATTATATAATATTAATGAGAGGAAAAATTGTTTTTTTAAATGATCTGAGCCTCAGAAACCTGGTAGAAAACATCAAATTCATGTCAAGAAAATTCAGAAAAAAGAAATAATGTAGGACTCGCTCCCAAATTTGGCAGAAGTAAGAAATATAGTGACCTCTAAACAGGACAAACCCAAAGCAACCTATGCTTATCCATTAAACTGCTGAAAATAAAAACAGAAAATATGACAAAGAAACTGTTTTGAAACTAGAGAAAGCAATGCATCACTTATAAGAAACAATGATTGAAATAACTGTAGAGTTTAGAGAGGACAGAAAATTTTAGTGTTGAAAGAACAGAGATGTTAACGTGGAAGTTTATAGTTAATGAAGACGAACCTCCGAGATAAAACATTCTCAGCTGAAATAAAATGAAGAGCGTTGCCATCCAACTTGCTCTAAGACAGTTGCTATAAGGATTGAATCAAAAATAAAAAAATTTCTCAGAAGAAAGCTTAGAATTAACTGACTCTAATGATTAATTCTTCCAAATACTAAAAGAACAAATTTCAATCCTTTACAAACTCCTCTAAAATGTAGGAAAGGAGGAAACTCTTCTCAGCGCATTCCCCGAAACTAGTATCACATTGATATGAAGACCAGACAAAAATAATTCTAGAAAACTATAGACTAGCTTCTCTTATAATACGACAAAACACTAGCAAACAAAACCCAGCAACATGTCAGCAAGAGTGTGCATCGTGACCAAAGAGGTTTTACCTTAGTATGCAAGGTTGGTTTAACATGCAATAACCAATTTCTATAGCACACCATATTAAGAAAATAAGAAATAAAACTATGCAGTCTTTCTTCTAAGATGGGTCCCCTGGAACTGAAGTTACAGGTGTTTGTGAGCTGCCTGACAATGACGAGGGTGCAGAAACCCAAACTCAGGTCTTTGGCAAGAGCAGTACACACTCTTAACTGCAGAGACATCTCACCATCTGCAGGTTCCTATCGCGTAAACAAATTATCACAAACTCTATAATAAACAAACTCAGAATTTATAATAAATAAACGTCTCAGAATTCAGGCGTCTGGAATGATGTATTAGGTTCTTTTCCATCACTATGACCGAGTATCTGACAGATACAATGTAAGGGAGAAAAGATTTATTTTGGCCCATGGGGCCCATCATGAAAGGGAAGGTGTGGTGGCAGGACCTGCTCCGTGGTGGTGGCTTGAACATGTGACAAACATCACCTCACCCAGCAGACAGGGACCCGATGGCTCAGGTCAGAAGCTATAATAACCCTTAAGGCCTACCCCAAAGCTCCACAGCTCACTTTCAACCAAGCATTTAAACCTGTTCCTTCTGCGGACTGGAAAAGATTCCTCCAACCTTCTAACCTTCTAGAAGCTTCCTACAATCTGTTTCCCACAGACCATTTATCCATTTCCAACGCCAGCAACACAACATCTTCAAATATGTCTGAGTTTGCTTTCGTCGTCCCGTATATTTCTGACTTTTTAAAAATGGCGGGGCCGGAGAGGCGGCTGTTCTTCCAGAGGACCCCGGTCCAATTCCCAGCACCCACATAACAGCTAACAACTGTCCGTAACGCCAGGTTCTGGGGTTCTGATACCTTCACACCAATCCACATGAAATAAAGTTAAATAATAAAATAATTGTATTGAGACCACCAGGGTAATCCAGGATGATCTAAAGACCCTGTTAGAACGGCACACCTTAGCTCGCGAAGCCCTCTGCCCACGCCAGGAGGGTCCCCTCACCCAGTGCACACTGATTACACAACCGGAACGTGTGTTTGTGGCTGTTTACATTCCCATCTCCCCTCGTGAGGCGAGGGCTGCATCTGCACTTACCCACTTGAATGAATGAGTCAACGGCAAATGAGTGGCAGGGGCAAAGAAACAAACAACCTAGTAGCATACAGTGACTATACTTTTGTGTGACAGTCCCAGAGTTTCAGCTTCTTTCGAGACCTCCGGCCTTGTGTTCTGTGAAGCGGTTTCCTTACCTCTGTCTCCACGCGGTATCTGTTCCCTTCAGGATCCAGTGGCCTCTCGTGGTTTTCGCGCCTGTCCCGCGAGGTATCCCCACGGTCGTAACTAGAGAATTCACCGCTCATCCTCTCTGCCTCAGTTTCCCCAAGTGTGACAGACTTGGCGGGATCAGTGTGGCGCTGGCGGCGAGCTGTGGAGAGGCAGGAGGCGGCCACGGGAGGGCGACGCAGACCGCGGACGAGCGGGCGGGCGGGCGGGCGGGTGGGCGGGGCGGTGCCGGACGGGAGCGCGGAGGGACGCGCGACCCCGCGATGGGCCCCGGGGCGCGGCTGGCGGCGCTGCTGGCGCTGCTGGCCCTCGGGGCAGGGGACCCCGCGGCCGCCACCGCGCGGGAGGACACCTTCTCCGCGCTGACCAGCGTGGCGCGCGCCCTGGCGCCCGAGCGCCGGCTGCTGGGGACACTGAGGCGCTACCTGCGCGGGGAGGAGGCGCGGCTGCGCGACCTGACCAGGTGAGGGCAGCGCGGGGGCCCGGGCTATCAGGATGGGCTGAGACCCAGTGTGACTTCCAGACCAGAGTAACGTTCTGTGCAGTCATATGCAGTAACGGTGCAGGGGATCCCGAGACAGTTTGTGGGGGAGTGGGAGAATACCTTGTGAGAGCGCTCTCTCTTTCTCTCTCTCTCTCTCCCTCTCTCTCTCTCTCTCTCTCTCTCTCTCTCTCTCTCTCTCTCTCTCTCTCTCTCTCTCTCTCTCTCTCTCCCCCCCCCCCCCCCCTCC